TAGGAAACAAAACTTCCGGAACACGGCCACACAGCCCGGAAGACCCACACCAGCCATCGTAGGCCAGCCTTGAAAGCCTTCGACAGTACAAGTTCAAACTGAACTGTGAAAGTCAGGGATTGCTCTTGGTCTCCTTCCAGGTTCTCCGGTGAACTCCCATGAGAACTCAGAAACACTGGCTGGGCTACAGACTGCTATGCTGCTGCTAGTTGAGGGAAATGCTGTCCCAGCTGCTGGGTTAGTTGCATCATGGCATTTTGTAAATTGGTGATTTGTAAACCCACTTGGTCACATTGCAACAAAGCTGGTGCAAGGTCCTCTGCGGGCAGTGGAGCGCTCTGAGGATCATAGGCCATCTCCACTAATAAAGGCAAGATCTTCAGCCTGCCTTGAAAGAGAGTAGCAGACTTGCAAGATTGATGTCAGCCCCACCAGGTAAATCAGACCAGACCAGACAATCAACTTCACAGGAAGACCAGAAATATATTTCATTGACATGGGCTAGAACAACAGAATCTTGCAAGTCTGATTGTGCTGGACCTCCTCCTCCTTCTTATAACCCAGCGAATCAGGGAGGTTGCATCAAACATTTGCATGACCCACATCTGAATCTTACCTTACTTCCCAGGACTTGAAGAATGTTTCAGCCCTCTTTGCCTAGGTAATGGTTCTTGCTTATTCCTGTCAAGGTCACCTCCCCTGCTCTCTATGCAGCCAAAGAGTGGAAGCCCAGCTTCAGATCAGCCTCTCCAGACCTACTGGAAGTCCCATCACATCTGGGAAGACCAGGAGCCTCTAAGGCAGGTGTGGGCAACTTCTCTTGGTTCGTGATCAGCAACCGGCCAAAGCTTTGAGAAGACCGAAGCTGCTCCCCAAAAGAGGGGTAATAATAATAATAATAATAATAATAATAATAATAATAATAATAATAATAGCCACAAGGATGGGCCTTCCTTTGGAGGGAGTGGGTCTGCAAAAGAGACGGATGTGACGTTAGGCCCCGGCCTCTGACAGAATGGGCTGGTGGGCTGTTCACCATGCTTTAAAAGATGGAAATGAAAAATCTGGGTCAGAGTAACCCAGCCACAGCAGCAGAAAGCGGAATCCTGTAGCAGACGTTGAGCGTGCAGAATGAGCCCGAGTGATAAAGGTGCATTAAGTCAAGATAGGAGCTGCAACCCTTTTGTGGGGGGAACACGTGGGAGGCCCTTAGCTGAACTTTGGCCAGCGTGCCAGCTACATCCCCACCTGGTCCCAGAAGCCTTGACAAGAGGAACTAATGGCCTGAGCAGCACCAGGCTGGACCACTGCAATGTGTTCTAGGCAGGGCGGTCTTCGGAGGTGATCCAGAAGCTAGAATGCAAAATGCAGCAACTACAGTACACCCCTGACACAACAATCCTGCAAGTCAGGAAGGCACCAGTTTTAGAGTTGCTGGTCAGTGCCCGAGCCCAGTTCAAAGTGCTGGTTGCTCCCCTTAAAGCCCTTTATGTGCAGCGCTGAGAATTGAACCTGGTCACCAAGGGGGGCGGTTGCAGGCCCCCCCTTCTGAAGAGGTGCTTGGGGTGAGGATCAAGCAACAGGTCTTCTTAGTGTTGGCCCCACTTTGTGGCATACCTTCTCCCCAGAAATATCGATGGCCCCGATCTTGCAGGCATTTGTAGCAATTTCGTCCTTTGTCTGTTTGGACTTAGCTTGTATAGTTTTATGGGTGCCCTGGAGGGTTACTGTTGACCTTAATATTATTTTAATTTTGCATGCTTTAAAAGATGTGTTTGCTCTGGTCTGTACCCAGCCCAGAGTCTGCTAGGAATGGGGCAGGCTATAGATGCTGCTAAATAAATAAATAAGCAAATGTATTTTAATATATTTTCTATCTTGCCTTGTACTTTAAAATGCTTCTGGCCAATGGAAAGCGATGATGCAGAAATCCACACTTAAAAAAAAAAGGCAAATGACACAGAGAACATAAGTGATATTTCAGGAAAGAGACACATAATTAAACAGACGTCTGATTTATTGGCTGGGATTTAAAGAGTCAAAGTTCACAAATGAGGGCTACCCAAGGCAATTTAGAGGTAGCATCTAATTATGTACAAAAGGCCTAATGATGTCTAAATTCTAAGTCTTGAGGCATTATACCTTGTGTCATAATAATAATTCTTTTTGTATTATTGTTGTTGTTGGTCGCAGAGTCAGCCAGATGTTTAGATTGGAATTGCCATTTTTATATCATCATCATCATCATCATCATCATCATCTGAAACATTGTGTTAAAGCTTTTTGGGCCACAAAAGGTGGGGGGGGGGCGTTATGGGTCACGGGTACTCCATCCATTTTACAGAATCAGAAACTTAAATAAATTCTTATGGTTCAGAAAAAAACCCCACACCCCTTGGAAATCAAAACATAGGTAATTTGAAAATACGCTTCTCTTTATGTTTAGTCCATGGTTCAGACAGCAGCCACTCCTTATGGCAGATGGGAATAAATATGAAGTATGAAAGTATAACAGGGCCCAGCACAGGGTTGGTCAAGCTAGTTGGGGATTATGAAGGATGGAGGTCAACCTCTCTGAGGGCTGCAGGTTGAGAAGGTCTACCACGTGGCCCAGCCCCAGGGGGCCAGCAGAAGCCTCATAGCCGGGCGTGTGAACCAGGTGCACGAGCGCAACGCGGCAGGTAGTGCAAAGGCTGTGCTGAGCTGGCCTTTGGAGGTGTCCATCCCTGTCGCCCAGTTCGCCACGCTTCCAATGTGTGAGGGGCACAAGGAAAGCACGTCCGAACTTGACCTTTACTCTTCAGTGCCTGGGAAGCGGGGAAAGTCTGGAGGGTAGTAGGGAGTCAGAATCAAGCCAGGATGCCTAGAACAAACTGCCTGCAATTTTCCCTTTGTGTTTCGATTTAACAATTCCGTGGTAAGCCTGGAAGGAGGAGAAACAAACGGAAGGATCAGAATCGGGACACTTTCAAGTTTCAGTTCAGAAAGCACGAATTGGCTTGCAGATTTTTGCTCATCAGCAGCTCCACAGGGGATCACTGAGAGACATGATGAACAAAGCAAGGCTTCTGGGCAAGGATGCCAACTCTGACAGCTTGCGGATCATCTGATGCCCATCGCTGGTGAGCTGAAGCGTTGGTGGCAGCGACCACTGAGTAGGGTGGCATAAACGCACAAGCCACGTGGCCTTGTTTTGGAAGCTGACACGCATGTTGCCCACAAGCCAAGTGGTTGGGAGTCCTCTTGACAAAACATCATGCAGATATTAAATTGTATTTATTTCCATAGCAGCTCTTAGGTGATTGGCAAATTTAACTAATCTGGGCTGGAAGATAAGAGTCAGCTTAAGATGGCTGCATTTGGACCCTGGTGTTCCCACCCAAAGCTCTTTATTTCAGTCATTGACCAGCCTTGCCTGTGTCCACTCCAACGGGTGGGGTCAGCGGAAGCCAAGCAAAACGTTGAGGGTCAGAGCCCTGTTCCTGATGATGGGGAAAGGCTAAAACACTTGAGGGATAAGGCCGGGTGTAACTAGAGAGATCTTTTCATTCATGCTCCCTTCTGACAGAATCCAGGGTCACCGAATGGCTCTGTCTTTAAGAGGCTTGCGAAGGTCCTTCTTCACACCGGGCGTGTTTAGTGTAGCTACCCGTCCTTCTGATTTGGGTGCCTTTCAAAGAGGATTAGACCAACTCCATGAGTGGCTAATGAAAGTGGCTACTAGCCAGGATCGGAAGACCAGATTCTAGTGGCGCACCGAGGCTCAAGGGATCTCCTTCACATTCTGCTGCTGAACTTCCCCAGAGGGATTTGGCTGGCCTGAGAGGTGTCCGTGAGGAGGTATCAAAAAAGTCAAGAAGGTGGGCACAATGGCACCATTGCAGCTGCCATCTTGACTTTTGGACCCCCCCCCCCATGGATGCCCCGCTGGCTTCTGCTGGAAGTGGAGCCAGGCCTTTGGGTTAATCCGGCTATGTTCCCCGAGAATCCTGGTTCATCTGCACGAGGTGGACTTTTCACCTTGTTGGCGTCTCTTGCCCCTCCTGCTAACTCTGCCCATTTAGGAGATAGGGCAGGGAGGGCTGACCCCAGGACTAAGCTGGTGCAGCTCCCGAGCCTCCTTTGTACACCCCTAGAGATGCTTTTGAGTAACCTGCTGAAATTCAGACTATAAAGCCCCACAAGTACGTGGTGGGGAGAACTTCCCAATTCCCATCTGTGCTGCTAATCAGAAAAAGCCCTGGAGATTCTGACTGTGGCCATCTGCGTGACATGGCTCCACTGACTTTCTGTTACTCCCCTGTCTCCTGTGGCTGTTGGCCTCCTTAAAAATGGTGGCGTGGCCCTCAGCTTTGGTGTACAATCATTTTCCCCCCGCAATCTTTGTCCAAGCACCTCCAGGAACACTTTCCAGGTGTTAATAGCCCTTGAGTGAAACCGGTATTCAACCTGATGCAGAGATGTCCAAACAGTATGGTCCAAAAAGTGAAGATGACACTCGCAGCAATGCGCTCGTTTATGCACATGTGGCCCACATAAAAAAACAAGTGGCACTTTGATTAACCTGTCCTGGCCGCCATCTTGACTTTTTGACCAACCCTGCAGACACCCCTGACCTGACGCCTTACAGATACGCTGCTGCCTTCCAGCCAGTGACCCTCCTGGCTGGGGAGGATGCAGGTGAACTCTGAAACGTCAGGAAGCCAGTAGGTTGAAGATGTTGAGACTTGGACAGTTCACCATCCAGGCCAAGGACGCAGCTGCCACCTGCGCCGATCTTGAATGGTGCCTGATTTAAGTTCCCATCTGCCTCTGTCTACAAAATGGGGCAGATGTGGCCAGTCCCCTTCCTAGGGTGTGGCACAAGGAGAACAGGACTGTAAAGCGTTTCCACCCAAGTACACCAATGGAGGGAGAGCTCCCTTGGAAAACTGCACACTTACGTTAACTTTTGAAGTCTACAGTGCCTTTTCCACAACCCCTTGCACAGCTGCCTGACCCCTTCATCTCCCAGGCTGTTGTCGCCCAGGTTCAACTCCAACAGGGACTTGCTGGTTTCCAAGACAGAGGCCAGATCTTCACAGGAACCAGCTGTGAGACCACAGGAGTGCAAGCTGCAAAGGAAGACAAGGACACCTGTGGCCCCACCATGCTTTGGGAGAGCAGAAATGCCTTCATCAGTACATAGGTAGTCCTCGACCTATGACCATTCATTCAGCAACTGTTCTAAGTTACGACGGTGCTGAACGAATGGAGGTTACAACTGGTCCTCAAAGGTTGCAGCCATCCCAGCACCCCCGCAGTCACATTATTGCAATCTGGACACTTAGCAACTGGCTCGCACTTACGACCGGTTGCAGCACCCCATGATCATGTGATCACCATTTGCAACCTTCTCTGCCAGCTTCCCTAGAAAGTCAGTGGGGAAGCTGGCAGGGAAGGTCACAAGTCGCTGGGGTAAGTCTCCCACACCCACACATCCTCTCGCAGCCTCTCTGCCCTTGCACCACACCAGCTGCTCGTGCACCCCACACACCATCTCTGACCTGCACTGCACCTCTTGCGCACCCCCTTGCACCCTTGCGCAGCTGGCAGCAGCCACATACCTGCCTGCCAGCCTGGGACTTGCAACTCCTGCTGACTTCCCACTGATTTTGGTTGTGGGAAGCCGGCAGAAAGTTATTGCCTAATGACCGTGGGATTCGGTTGATGATGGCAACCGGGACTACAGGGATTGCTGTCACTGAGCGATGTGGTTGCGCTTTATGACCGCATTGCTTAGCAACAGAAATTCCAGTCCCAATTGCCATCGTAAGTCGAGGACTACCTGTAATGTGCAGGGTGTCCACGAGATGCGGTCAAAAAAGTCAAGTGCAGGGTGCCTGCATGGTGTGGTCAAAAATCACACATGCACAAGTGACTTGCATCACAAATGGGCGGAGCTTCAATTGCATTCTTCTGGCTGCCATCTTGACTTTTTGACCAGGCACTCCTGGCAGTGTGGCAGGAGAGCCCGCAGCGTTCGGCAGAAGCCCTTCCTCCTTTTTTGCTTCCCATCCAGGATTTCAAGACATCTGGGTTAGCCTGTCCACACCTCTGCTCCAGGTGTAAAAGGCTTTGAACACCTTTTGCCCTGGGGGGGATGTGCTGGAGAGCAGGAAGAGGGAAGGTTGCAGGCAGGAGAGGAGGAAACAAGAGAGGCTGAGACAGAGTTGGCTCTGGGAGAGCGTGGGCAATCAAGGCATGGAAAAAGTGGGCGCTGATTCAGACCCTCAAGCAGCTGAAGCCGAGCAGAGCCGTGCCAGCTGCTCCAGAAATGCCAACCGCTAGCTGGCACCTGCTAACAAACTTTTCCTCTCCAGCCAAAGATGGAGAAATGCTAAAATCCCGGCAGCAGTACCCCAGCCAGCCACAAAGCCTGCCAAACCTGACATGGCTAAAAGTTGGTTAAAAGGAGGCTAGAACTTGGCTGAGGAATTTCTCCACAAGCCACAGTGGGGAGAGCAGCCAAGGACTGGGCCAGGGATTTGCACAGGGGTGGGCCTGCAAACAGAAAGTGGGGAAGAGCTGGGAATGGCTGAAGGCAAGAATGCCAGTTTGGATCTTATCCTAGTTTCGAGTCATGTGAAGGTCTCAAACAAGCCCCAATGATAATACTCTGCAGGATGATCGTCAAGATTATTGAGATAGTAGTGAAGGACCAAGGATGAAGGTGACGCAGTAGGGCAGTGTTTCTCAAGCTTGGCCACTTGAAGATGTGTGGACTTCAACTCCCAGAATTGCCCCCCTCCCTTAATCCCTTAGCGAGCTTGTTTGCGCTTTCAAAATTAAAACTGACAACACTTTTTCCACGTTAACTTCATCTCAGGAACGAACCTGTTCGCCTCTGAAACCAGCTTGAGAAATTGCTGGGACAAGAGATCCCAGCCACTTCCTCCCCGCTGCTGCCCTTCGGCGGGGGGGCTGAAGGAGAAACACCGGGATGCTAAGCCGGCCCCTCCATCACCAACCCCCAACCTCCTTCAGCTGCCTTGCCCAAAGGCCCTGCGAAATCCATCAGGGTTGAGATCAGGACCCCCACCCCGCCAACTTACATGAGTCTCTGTAGCCGGGAAGATGGGTGCTTCAGTGCCTGGCACAGCTGCCTTACTCCGCCATCCCCCAGAGGGGTCTCTGCCAGGTTGAGCTCAAGGAGGGCATGGCTGGATTCCAGGACCCTCGCAAGGGGCTCACAGATGGCAGCTGTGAGGTTGCAGGAAGGCAGCCTGTAGGAGTCGGAGGGGAAAAGAAAGGATTTGCACCCGGGCAGATAGTCCCCTCTGCAAAGCTGGGAAACTCGTGCACCGAATCTTTCTCTCCGCTCGTTCTGGGAGTTGGAGGCTGGGGAGGGGGGCTGCTCCCTGTGGGGATGGCTGATGTGCTGCTTCCCTTGCGGGGTGGCGGGTGATGCCACACATGTTGGGCGGTCAGGTTCAAACTGGGCAATGGATGCCCAGAGCCTTGGTTCTCAGCTGCGTCCTTGGACAAGACTTCCAAGGTCTCACGCAGCACTAAGCCCTCAGGTGGTTTGCTTCATTTGGGTCAAATTGCGGTGCAAACCCAGCCATGGGGTGTGTGAACCACAGTTTAGGGGTCAGATTCCTGCCTTAAACAGGCCAGGTTGGTTTTAGTGAAGGATGGCAGAAAGTGAGGTCACCTGTGGCCTGACAGTACCTCTTTCACAGCCCCCAGATTCCCCCCAGGGTGGAGAGGACCAACCTCTGGGGAAACGTCTTGTGTGTGTGAGGGGATCTAAAGTGGGGGCCATTTCCTTCCACTTTTCGGAGGGCGAAGGTGCTCCTTGCACTTTGCATAAAGCCTGTAATTCTCCCTCCAAATTTCCTATGACTCTGTTAATATTTAAAGGCAGTGTTTCTCAACCTCGGCAACTTTAAGATGTGTGGACTTCAACTCCCAGAATTCCCCAGCCAGCCTTGCTGGCTGGGGAATTCTGGGAGTTGAAGTCCACACAACTTAAAGTTGTCGAGGTTGAGAAATACCGTTTTAAGCGATGAAATGGCCACAGAACCGAACGTCTTCAGCTTGGCCTCCTCTGATCACTCTCCTCTTCCAATGTGGGGTTAGAGGGGGCTAGAATAGGGGCACTGGAGACCCTGCACTGCTCAAGGACTTGAAGGACCCCACTTGCAGCTCAAAACCCTCCGTGCAATCTAGGTGTGGGTGTCGTTGAACGTGAAACTTCCATAAACATAAGCAAACTACGAACCTGTGGGTACATCCCCTATCGGGGTATCTACAGGGGAGGTCCAAAAAGTCAAGATGGTGGCCCTGGCCCATGATCGAAGCCCTAGCCCTTTTGTGACACGTGTTAAAAAGGGGAGGGTCTTTGAACACATGGGTGCAGCCGCTGTCTTGACTTTGGGGGCTTGTCTACTACGTACGAGGGTTGTACGATTGTAGCAATATAAATACATGAAGAAATAAATAAAGAAATAATCCTGAAGGAGTAACATCTCCAGGGTCTACAGCTGGCCCCCCAGGCCATAGCCAACCGGGAAGGGAAGTGGAAGAGAATGGAGAAGTTCTACCTCCCCCACAAAAAAGTTTCATGTTGGTTATCCTGGTCCATCTATAAGCAGGCTGCAAAGAGACAGACTGAGGGGTTCTGCCGAAGGGCTGGTGGAGTAATGATGGGGTGTGAGGGGAGGGGGCAGCAGAGATCCTCCCATTTGCTGCCCTCCGGGGGGGAATGAGGCCCCTCACCTGAGGCTTTGAAGTTGGCAGGTGGGCTCAAGAAGCCATTCACACAAGTGGGAGACCCCCGAATCCTCCAGGGGATTTTCACCCAAGTCCAGACTGGTCAGCCTTGCGTTGGTCATCGCGATGGATGTGAAGTCTTGGCACGCAGCGGGAGGGAGGCCACAGCGGTTCAGCCTGAGGAAATTGGTAGACACCACAAACCCAATTGCCCATCCTCCATGCTCCGACCACCCCCCACCAGATGATGAAGCCTTGCTGAAGGCTTTTGGTTCTAGAACACGGTTTTAATCTGTGTGATAACAAAAATGTGCTGGATTGATTAAGGGTTTGATTTGATTATTAAAGACACAACTCCAAGCCATGGCAGCGAGAAGGTCACAAGCCTGCAGAATTTGGCTTCAGGAACCCCTTCCAGCAACAGCTGTTGAAGGCCTCTGTATTTTTTTGAAGTAACAATGCGGTGGTGCAGTGCAATGATGCAGTTGGGTTGTGTCTGTGTGTGCTTTTCTCTTTTCCTCTCAAGCTGCATTTATGTGTACGTTGTTATGAATTGTACTTCTTGAGAGTAATGGGAATACTTGAGTAGGTGAAAGGAGCAAGCTATGTGTGCACTGTGCAACTGAAGCTCCACCCCCTTTTACATGTGTGTGCGAGACATGTCAGAAAGGCAGAGCTTCCAGCAGGCATTTGTAATTGCCATCCTGACTGTTTTGACCTCCTCCTGATGCCCCTGACTGTAATCGAACCAGACTAGTTCATGCAACATGCTAAGCCACATAACTTAATCTCAGCCAAACCTTGTATGTTGTGTGAATGACTCTACCTGGTCTTTAACTGACCTGGTTAAGTATGTTGTGAAGACAGCCTCTGAGGTGAGTTGTTAAGAGACCCAAAAATGTCTCCTCCCGTCTCTGTTATGATTCAAAGTAAAAGAAGAAAAAAAGCTGCTTGGTAAACTAACGTGAATGGATGTCAATGAGAAGTTAAAGTATCAGCCTTGACTGGGATCCTGGACAATCAAATGATGTGCTTTGAACCCCCTGACAGCTCAGATATCCCTTGTGCCTCTTCTACTTACTGGATCTCTGAAGATTTCAGGAGTCCTGGTAAGAGTTGTCGAAATCTTCCAGGTCCAAACTCATAGCCCGAGAGTCGGACTGAGTTAAAAGCTCCAGCAGCCGACAGGCAAAACGATAAAGCTGCAAAGTCCAGCTCAGTCAAAAGTTCTGTCTTGAGATCCATATTGTGGACATACTTCATTATGCTCCGGGCAGACACAGGGTCCTCCATTTCATAAATGCAATGGCACAGTTCCAGCAGATCCTCCTCTCTTCTAAAGGAGTGAGTTTTGGCTTCCTGATCCACCCATCTTAGCAATTCTTGCCAAAGCTTTGTCCTGGATATCTTGCAGAACCACGATTCTTGTAGGACACTCATCCTCTTTATGTTGGAGAAGCCATAGAGAAAACGGATCAACATGAGGTAGTTGCTGCTGCGCTCTTTCTTGTTTCCAAATACCTCACTCAGGTCTCTGTAAGGTGTTATGGTGGTCTCATCATTGTCCAGCAGGTAGAATAAGGCTGCAAAGAACTCCTGGAAACTCAAGTGGGTGAACCTGTACAAGGCTGCCACGTGGACATCTTGATGGAAAACTTCCCTAATTGCTGAAGGAGAATCTGAAGTCAAATAATCCAAGCCACGTTCTTTTAGGTCTTCTTCGCTGAAGGCCATTGTTCTGTGCAGCATCCCATCTTTAGCTAAAGAGCACAGTTCTTCCAGGTTATTTGGTCTGGAATAGGTACCCAAGAAGTTCAAGAGGAGACGCATGTGAATTTCTGTGAGTGTTGCAGTTTCGGGGATATCTTGAAAAAGTTCTGCTTGTGGGTTTTGTTGGAAAACAGAGCAAATGGCCCAACATGTAGCAGGGAGGAAGCACATACTGAAGAGAGTTTCATTTCTTTGAACAAGTTCAAACATCTGAGTGGCTTCTTCCTTATTTTGAAAGAAGCGGTGGAAATATTCCTTCCTCTGAACAGGATGAAACCCCAGCACGTCTACAAACAGTGGTGATCTCAGACACTTCAACAGTGGGCATATACTCGTGGGTCTTGTGGTCACCAGGAGATGACACTTTGGAAAGATTTTTTTCTTGAGCAAATTCACCATCAGGCTTACCACATCCTGCTTTTTATAGGGATCTTTGTCCAGCGTATCAACTGGGGTATCAGAGTGCTTCAGTTCATCAAAACCATCAACAATGAGGAGGATTTTGTCTTGGTTTGTCAAAACATCATCTGTTAAAACCATTCCTGGAGGACAGCTATGGAGGACCATCTCAACTGCACTAATAAACCTGATGCCACAGCTGACTGCACCGCAAGAGATATAAAAGGCATAATCAAACTTTGTGTGCCATAGTTTGTCAGATGCCCAGTCCAACATTAATTTCCACATGACTGTGGTTTTTCCTACGCCAGCAGGTCCAAACAACAAAACAGTTTTGGAGCTTTCCCCTCCAGTATCTGATTGAAATAAATTCTCCAGATCAATGTTCAGGCTGCCTTCCGGATCAGTCTTTGTTTTCCAGTGCTTTCTTTCCACAGCCATAATCTCATGACCTCTTTTGGGAGGGTCCTGTCTCTTCTTCAGAAGAAGTTCTATATAGCTCTGTTGGAGAGTCACCCTTGGACTGGGGTGCAAGCCCAGTTGAGGAATATTTCGAAATGCCTCTTGGATGTGCCTCTTATATTTCCTCTTGCGATCTAAAGAAACGCATAAAAAGAAAACATTCAAGGGTCACCATAATTCAGTGACAGAAATAATACTTTCTGTGCCAAGGCCCAAAGTCTTAGGATGGGGGTAGGCAAAGAGAAGTCCAGGTCAGACAGTCTGGATAGGCACTGCCAGTCAGACTAGACGGCAACCCAACATTTGGGCTGCATAAAAGAGAGATTTGTAAGTCCTTATTTATGGAGAAATAATCTCTTTTCAGTTTAGCCCAATGATCACGTAACGGTTGGCTTCTAAAGAGAATGACTGTACTGACTGGGAAATTCCGGGAATTGTAGTCTGACTATATCAAGAATATACCAGATTGGACAAAGCTGGTCTATGGTGGGAAACTTCCCAGGATCTTCCCACTGTTTGTTGCCCCCAGCCCTTGGAGATGACACAGACCCTCCTGGCATCTCCCACCGGGCACTGACCTTCAGCTGCAGATTCCCTCAATAAGTCCAGAATCTAGAACTTTATTAGACCAAGATATGCCAGCTGTTAAAGTCAACCTTTTTAAAAAAAAAAAAATTGGATGCTTAATGGTTATTTCTTCTTCCCAGAAAACTTTGGGAAAGTCCCTAGCACAGCTCATCAATCCTTGGTACCTAAAAGAAACCCCACCTGAGATTGCCTCTCATTCCATTGGGTGCCTTAATACAGATGGTGGTCCACCATCAGCTACTTTCTTCATGCCTTCTGGCCATATTGCCTGATTGTTTGTTTAACACATTTCTATCCACCTCAATCAAAAAGAGTCTTGGAGGCTTACAAAGACTATAATGAAACAGCTGAAGACATCCATGGTAGCATAGAAGACCACATACGGACTTCACAAGGGAAAAACTATAAAAACAGCATCAAAGAAAAACATACATGTGAAAATGAAAAGTATGTTTGTTTTTGAAGCCCTTTATGACTTGGCCTGCAGATACCCAGGCTGCTGCATTTTGGACTCACTGAAGTTTCTGAGTAGTCTTTAAGGGCAGCCTCAACTGGAGCGCATTACAGTAGTGGAACTGGGCGGTAGTGGGGGCAAGAGTTCCTGTAGCCAGGTCTTCCTGCCCCAGAAGGTCACTTAACTGGTGCACTAGCTAGAACTGGGCATAGGCTCCCCTGGCCACAGGTCCCACCTGGCGTTCCTGCAAGAGTTGTGAGTCCAGAAGATCTCCAAGTTGCCAACCTGCTCCCTGACGGATCAAGGGACAGCTCTGGAGAGCCAGGGCAGGCGGTCAGGACAGCCCCATTGCGTCAACAACAAACCTGACTTGCTCACGTTCAGCTTCAGCTTTTTCTCTCCCATCCAGACACCAACAGCCTCCAGAACCTGGGAAAGAACATCAAGCCCATCTCCCTCACGAGGCACCGTTGAGTATCATCCATTTCTTTGTGGAGTCCCTGGTGAAGTTTTTTTTTCCCTGGATATTATTTACATGGATTTGTCTGGTCATGTTCCTTTTAAAATTATGTATTCTTTTAAATATTGTAAGCTGCCCAGAGTTTTTATGGAGTCAGGCGGCCTCGAAATCAAATAAATAAAAATAAAAAAATAAGATATAATCAGGGTACTGATGGTGCCAAACCCCGGAGCATGAAAATACCTCTCTACCACCTTCATATAGATGTTGAAGAGTAGGGGAAAAGAGATCAAGATCTTGGAAACACCCAAAGCTTGCAACTATTTTTTTAAAGATGTTTTTAATCCCACCTTTATTATTTTTAAAAATGACTTGAGGTGGCGAACATACCTAATACTCCTTCCTCCTCCTCCTCCTTTCTCCATCACAACAGCCCTGCGAGGTGAGTTGGGCTGAGAGAGAGGGACTGGCCCAAAGTCACCCAGCCAGCTTTCATGTCTATGGCAGGACTAGAACTCACCATCTCCTGCTTTCTAGCCTGGGGCCTTCGCCACGAGGCCAAACTTCAGTTGGTCTAATAAAACTTAAACTTCAGTTGGTCCAATAAAGGCAGTTGCCTTCACATGGATTCTAAATTTTCTATTCCCCCTTTGCACCCTATATTGTGGCTGTAAAAAAAGTCTCCACAATCAGGTGTGTCTGCCCTGTTGCACAATACACTTTACTCGGCTACCGAATTAAACCATTTTCTGGGTTCACACAGGACAGTAAACTAATGATCTTAGTTACATCCAAACAATATCAACCTTTTCTAAACAATTAAAGTCTATGACTGAGGTCAGTGTTTTTCAAGCCTGGCCACTTTAAGATGTGTGGACTTCAATTCCCAGTATTCCCCATGCTGGAATTCTGGGAGCTGAAGTCCACACATCTTACCTGGTAGAGAAACACTGACTTAGGTGAATGTTAGTTGTCTTTAAAAAGCTTGGAATAAGGAACTAGAAGATCTTATACAGCTGAATCAATGGCAAAGTTTTAAACATAACTGAGAGATCTCCTGTGACCTTCAGATGAGACTAATACAGCAAAAACTTTGGTTTCATGTCTATTGGACATCTTGGAGAACATTTTGAAAGAGCTAGTTAACACTTTCATTATATTGGAAGCTTAATATAGATGAAGCAGGTCACACCTACGATTTGACTTTCGCATCATTAATATTATCCTTGTTTAAAGAATGGCCTTGAATTATATTTGGAATCGATCACACTGATAATTATGGCTGCATCACACGTGGGGGAATAGCAAAGAACCTAATTATTCAGCACTGAAAAGACAGAGGAATTCTGGACTTAAAATCTTGGATTATAGACCAAAGTTCACTTCACATGTAGGAACGGGCACTCGAGCACCACAATGGAAAAACCAGTGAGTATCATTTTGAGTGGTCAAGATTGATGCTTAATTTTTTTTAATACTGATGGCCATTCAGTCAGTCAAGCATAACTACCTAACTTCTGAATGGTGCTCAAACCATGCAGCCTAGGCCAGTGCTTCTCAACCTTGACAACTTGAAGAAGCGTGGACTTCAACTCTCAGAATTCCCCAGCCAGCAGGTTGTCACGGTTGAGAAACACTGGCCTAGGCTGACGTGCAAAGGCTGAGGGGGGGGGGGGGGGCATGAGGCAGAGGTGCTTCAGGGTATGGGAGCCATAATGGAGAACCCCTGCCTTTGGGCCTCTGTTCTCCTAAATTCTCCTAAGGATGGGACCCCAGGCAGGCAGCTTCCACCTGGTGGAAACAGTCCCTAAGGTACGCTGAAGCCAGCTATGGAGAGCTTTATAGCTCCACACCATCGCTTTGTGTTGGACCCAGAAGCCCCTTGGCAGCCAATGCACCAGCCAGAAGAGTGATGTAACGCCTGCCTACTCTCTTTCACCTGTAAACATGGCCATGGCTGCCACATCTTCTACTCACTGTAGCTTCTGAACCATTTTTACAGGCAGCCCCTGTAGAGCGCAATACAGTAATCTAACTGCGTGGTGATAAGGGTGTGAGTTACAGTTGCCAAGGCATTCTGGTCAGAGATAAGCCCACAGTTGCCACAACAACTGCAGGGGACAAAGGTCCCTTGGCCATGACTTCTACTGCAGTTCCATCTGGAACCAGGTGTTCAGAAGTTCCTCCTTTAAGGGGAGAACAGCTCTCTCCAGGCCTAGTTCTGGAACTATCTCAAACCAGAATGCTTCCAGATAAACAGCAACTCCATCTTGCTGGGGATTGAGTTGGTTACATCGTCCAGACCCTCACAGGCTCAGAGACGGGTTTAGGATGTTCACAGCATCTCCAGTTTGTCCTGGGATAGCAACAAAGAGTTATCACCTCACTGCAAACTGACAAATTACCTCCACCAAAGGCTTCATATAGATGGTACAGAGTAGTGGCGGAAGAACTGGGCCCCACAATATCCCATGTTGGAGTACTCACTGGTTTGACCATTTCTTCCCCACAACTACTGACTGGAACACCTTGTAGAACTTGAAGAAGTCCACACTTCAAGTTGTCAAGGTTGAGAAACATTGGCCTAGGCTGATGTGCAAAAGGCTAA